CCTACGTTTTAACTCGAAAACAAAGCAAAAACCAGCCACAAAAATACAGAACCACGTTTTTCTATTACATCGAAGACCACGTGCAAAACTTCAGCTAATTTGGAGCAAGAAAAAAGAAAAGCAACCAAAATCGTCACTTATCCCCTTTCATGACTAGCTTCTTCAATTACACATGTATTAGGTAAAGTCTGCATACAAGCCAAATGGCCCGTCGGGCTGGACCTTTTGTCAGTAGCAATTGAAGCAACCACGAGGTATTTCTACTCCCTCCTGGATGGGATGCTAGTCCATCGCAGGGTTACCCCTCAGCATTAAATTTGCTGGTTCACTCATTTATACACCTAGGTGGAGTGGGACGATGTGAGAGGAAAGTGTCTCGCCCAAGAACACAACACAATGTATCCGGCCAGGGATCGAACCCGGACCGCTCGATCCGTAGTTGAGCACACTAACCATGAGGCCAGCACATGTACCTACGTAGTTATGGTGATCAATGCAATGCAGAATTGGTACATCTCCCTTTTAAAACATTTTATAAACCTGCCAAGCGACTAGGCTTGATTTCCAGCCGGTGTTCGGGAAACGAGCCCACGCCGCTCCCACGAACTTCTCGGGGAGGAACAAAGACCAGATGCGATAGAGCGGCGGAAATCAAAGCCAACCAAGCAACGTGACTAGATACATACGTGGAGAATTTAAAGGTACCAAAGACAAATGACCAACCACAAAGAAAACTTAATGTGGGAGAGTTAAGTGTCTTGCCCATCAGAACATTCTTATTTAGGGAAGCCTACAACTGTTTTGGCCTGACAATACCAACATGGGCTCAAGACATGCAACAGGTTCAACAAATCCAACAACAGACTTCGTTGTTGTAAAGGTGGCTTGAAAAAAATAAAACAAATAATTCATCACCCCTTGTGCCAAAACATAAAATATTCATTTCAAAATGATAATATTAGATGGTCACAAATATAAATGTGACATCTAATTTGACAACTTTGCCTAATAAAAATGTACATTTACATTTACTAGCATAAAATAAATATTAAACTCTAATCAAATGTGTTAAATTTTCTTAGTGAAATATGGTAAATGATAAAAAAACAGGGTAGAGCAAAATAATTTTAAAAATTTATAGACTGACACCGCTTCTATGTAGGTTAACAGTGAACTAGTAAGGATTCTTTTTCCTACTCTTACGTGGTAAGAATTCTTTTATCAGAATGGGATTTAATTCTCATGCTTTAATTTGAATGTCATATAAACCCAAGTTAATGTTTTCTTTCTAAACTTGCTGTTTACACCAGGTGAACATGCAAATTTTTCCTTTAATATCAGCTGAGCCTCATTCTGCATAAATACCACCTTAAATAATCACAAGTCTTGCTTTTGAGGGTGGAAATTTTCTACAGCCAGTTCATGTATATCAATTTGTTTCAATTCAGACATTCAAAAACGGTGTATTTTTCCAGTATATCTTAACTACAAATGTAGAAAAGAAATCTCCAGCCTTAGATGAAAAAGAAGCCTTTTTTGTCTTAGGCCATTAGGATCCTATTTCCGCCATTCTGCATTGTTCATGCAATATTCATCTTCTAGCTCTATGTGGAGAAGCAACAGGTGTCCGTAAAAAAAAAGTGTTAGTTCCTGTAAAACTTCATCTAAAGCAACACGCTTATGACCGAGTAATTTAGCTTTCCTAGTGAGCAAGTGAAAAAAACTTAAAACAAACAAGGAATATTTTATAATAACAGCTGAAACGTAAACTGGAGAACAAAAGCAAAACTTAACTGTCAGCTTACGTGGATGTTTCAAAGTTTATGAATATTAAAAAAAAATAATACATTAACACTAAATCTTCTACTTGTTGATCCTCTGTGGCATCTAAAATCAGTATTTGCGGCTAAAACATCCCCTTTTCGAACTCTTTTCGCGGTAACAAACGGCTTTTTCTTTTTTTCCTTCAGCGTCCCACTTCGACAAAAGCAGAGGAGATGGTTTAATTAAATATCCGATGAAAATACATGTACATGAAGCTTTTAAATTAAACGTAATACAACAAGTAGTCGATGCAAAATCGGAAGCAGTGTTAAAAATCATAAAAGCTTACCCTTCGTCTGCATAACTCCAACAGGATGTAAATATAGTCTGCATCCTCAAAGAACCCACGAAACCCAACGATGTGCTTGTGTGTTTCTGATTTGAAACCCACTGAACGATGGATGGCTATCTCCATAGACATCTACACAAATCGGATAATAATTCAACGATCAGAGAAATATCAAAACATTTAGGAGTCAAAAGCAAGCTCTACAACGCGTCCGATCGAGTTTTTAGGCGATTTTCCTTGCTTACCTTTTCTTTTTGATGTGGCTTCGTCAACATGGTCTTCGAGATGATCTTGCCGGCCAAGATTTCCTTGGTCTCCATATCTGTGAGTTCGTAGCATTTTGCAAACCCACCCTGTAAAATCGTGTAAAACAAGAACATTTACGACAAATTTAGATACCTCACTAGGAGTCTAAAATGAACTTGCGATCAAAGGTTCGTTTGCTCGTGTTGATTCAGGATTTTTAAATGACCGTTGGTGGCGATTGTAACACACCTTGCCGAGAAAACGGCCCCGTAGATAACGTTTTTTTGTCGTAGGATCCACAATATATTGGTCCAAATCCTTTGCAACTCTTGCAGAGCTGTATTTATCTCTTGTAGCCGCTTTATGCATCTTCAATCTAGTCGCTCAACGAGACCGTCCAAAGTCTGCCAAAATCTCAACAATTCAGTGTATAGATAAACCAGAAGCAAAGTTCTACGATACAAAATCACGTGTTCAACTTTCCACCTTGATAAAAAAATTTTGAATATGGCGAAAATTCTGAGCAAACTTCTCAGTAAAGATTTCACGAACGAGCGCCGTGTTCTCGTGGAAGAAATGGTCGCTTCGAACGAAGAGATCGACAGTTTAGAAACCATTCAAACAAACTGCGTTTGAATCATAAGCCAATCAGATCCTT